TTTAGGGGTTTGGGGGTCTAGGGTTTAGGGGTTTAGGGTTTAGAGCTTAGGTCCGTCAGCAGCTTCCTGTCTTTATGCTGCAGCTGGGGATGAAGTCTGGACAGCCAGACGATCATGCAAAAGTCAAGAGGTCATCCGCAAACCCAGAGAGCCCAATACCCCGTAATTGAGGAATATACCTTAAATCATGCTATGAAGACCCTTACAACCGAAGCCCGCATTCCTTAATTAAGGAGTCTCGGGCCCTCTGACTACCCATCACCTCCGCTCCACCATTCTGCCGCCGCATTGACCACCGCGCCCAGGAGTAATGTAGGGGCCTTAATCAGTAGAAAAGGCTTCGGGGCGCCTCTAGAATCCCTAAACCCTAAACCCTAAACCCGGAACCCAAGTCTGAAGCCCCACATCGTCATAGCGCCGTTCGGGCGCCATCTGCCCTGCATCGTCTTTCATTGCCTTGTTGCATCTTGGCCTCGATCGCGGGGACGGGGGGAGTCCCCTAGACCGATGTTGTGGCGCTGGCAGGGCACCAGTCCTCCCAAACCCCAAACCCTAAACCCTAAACCCTAAACCCCAAACCCTAAACCCAAACCCTAACCCCTAACTTCTTTACCAACCCGAAGCGAATTCTAAGGTTGGAGGATTGCCGGAAACCCACATTTGCAAACCATCGAACCGCCAGTCGGGCGAGCAGCCATTAGGTCCACCATCCTCTTCGCCATGCGAGCAGAAGCTCGTGCCCCTTCATCCAGCCTAAAGCTTCAAAAGTTCGTTTTGGGATATAAGACTTGGGTGTAACCCTAAACCCTAAACCCTAAACCCTAAACCCTAACTTACGGTATCGCTTTGGGCCTTAGGCTTCTGTTCAGTTCAGTCTCGGCTACTCCCTTGTTCATGGGGTTTCTGACTCAAACTGTGCGACAAATCCCACTTGGAGGTTTATGGGTAGTTATAAATGTGGTTATAAGTAGGGTAACTATAATTATAACCCACTTTAGGGGACTTATAACCATACGTATAACTACCCATGAACCTCCAAGTAATCCCTTGTTCAAGGGTTTCTGACTCCAACTGTGCGACACATCCCAGAGCCTGACAGGGCCGACTTTGGACTCAGGGGACCGATGGGACTCTCAAGTCCGAAGGCTTAGAGCTTTAGGGTTTAGGGTCTAGGGTTTAGGGTTTAGGGTTTAGGGTTTAGGGTTTAGGGTTTAGGGTTTAGGGTTTAGGGCTTAAGGTTTACAGCTTGACCTTTAGGCCTTGAGGGCTTGGAGCTTGTGGCGAACGAACCTCCCTCAACCCCGAGCCCTCATCACAAAGCGCCCAACTAGCTAGGGTAAAGGGGTGGTTCTCTAAGTAAAGCTCCCGTTGTAGGAGTCCAAACGAAGGCGGCACCCTCAACAAGGGACGCAAATTTAGAGAAGTACCTAGATACCAACACTCTCATACCACGGGTCTATAACTGAAGGTGTCGGTACCCTCACCCCCTGGCTCTGCTTCCTCCCCATACACTGTAGGGTTTAGGGTTTAGGGTTTAGGGTTTAGGGTTCAGGATTTAGGGTTTAGGGTTTAGGGTTTTAGGGTTTAGGGTTTAGGGTTCAGCGTTTTGGGGTTAGGGTTTAGGGTTTTAGGGTTAGGGTTTAGGGTTCTGCGGAATCCAGTACACCAGCATGCTGAGCTCGTACTTTTTGTTCATGGCCTAGACCTGCTTTTATACAGATACAGTGAAGACTCGTGAAGACATGTGTACAAACTCTGCATAAACAGCTGGACAGTACGTGATAAAGAACGGCGCATGCAAATACGTATATATATATATATCCACATATATATATATATATATTTATTTATTTATTTATTTATTTACTTATTTATTTATTTACACATACATGCATGCATACATAGATACATACATGGGTAGTTCTCCAAATTGGGGGGTCCCTTTTAAAAAGGACCATAAAAAGGTACCCTAATCTCGAGAACTACCCACACACATACCCTCAACCCTAAACCCTAAACCCTTGTTTGACTATAAGGTCGCTACTGGAAACTCCAAAGCCTAGCGCATGACAGTGAGACAGGTGTATGATTTGGGTTTAGGGTTTAGGGTTTAGGGTTTATTGGGGGCCTTAATAATTAGACTAGGGTTTAGGGGCATATTGTAGTATAGTGAGAGCCCCCTAAATAGTAGCGGTGATTATTTAGGCCCCTATATTGCTGCCCCCATACAGCAACGGTCTATAATACCTAGCGCTTTGCGTTTTGGGTTTAAGGCAAAGGGTTGGGTACTGCCCCGATACAGGAACAGTCAATCATAGGGTTACTAGTAAGGAACTCATACATCTATACTGTAATTTTTATTCAAGTGTTGCTGACCCGGGTCCTATAACCCCAAACCAGTACGGCTCATAGAAAGAGCTCTAATAAAACGACCCCGGTTTGGCGTGCCCGTGGCACTCTCACAAAACTCTCCGGGCATGGGGCCTCACTGCATGGAGCAGGATTTCGGGTTTGGCGGGTTGTAATTTCATACGGCACCTAATATTTAGGGTACCCAAAACGGGACCCTAATTTTGACAACCACCCATGTAGGGTTTGGGGTTGAAGGGTTCAAAGGCTTCAACCCGGGCACATGAGACCCTGGATCCCGCGCTGGCCCGGGGCAATTGAAATCCTACAGGCCCTAAACCCTAAACCCTAAACCCTAAACCCTAAACCCTAAACCCTAAACGGTTGAGGGTTCAGGGTTCGAGCCCTAGGAAGCCCTATGGTCCAGGGTTTCGGATTTAGGATCAGCCCTCAAGACCCCCGCTTTTAAAAAAAAGTATTAGTTAAAGGAAACTACAGGTGGGGAGTTTAGGGTATGTAGGGCTTCTATCAGGCTTCCTTAAGGTATATAGACGTTCTATAAGGCTCCTATAACGGTAACTACGCACCTGAAAATGTCCTAGACTTAGCCTTTGTCCTTTAGAGCTGCCGCAGGACCTGCCCAAGAATGGGAATTTCCAATAGGGAATCCTCAGTGAACCAGAGTTTGCGCAGGTTTGAAGGTTCAGGGTTTAGGGTTTAGGGCTTAGGGGTTTGGTAATTAGACTAGGGTTTTGGGGGGGTATTATGCTACAGTTCTAATGAAGAACCCCCAAAAAAAGTATTGGTAATTGCTTAATTAGGCCCTTATATTAGATAGGTGGGGATTGCTCAGACCTGTCTTGCGTAGACCGTACAGCAGAGGAAGGGTCGCTTGTTGCTTAAGTAACATGGGGGTCGGAATAGTGTCCCGCTCTTGTCCTTATGGAAAGGTACCATAATATGCCCCGAGCCGCTAATCTAGCTATTCAAGCCGCTACGGTAAAAAAACCCTAAACCCTAAACCCTAAACCCAAAAACCTCCAAGTGGGTTTTGTCCAGAGGGTCGGGAGTTGCTGAATTCAGCTGCTTTTGTGCTTTCCGGCTGGGGGTTTCAGGGTTTAGGGATTAGGGTTTAGGGTTTAGGGTTTAGGGTTTCAGGGTTTAGGGGTTGTTAGGAGTGGTTTTTGAGGACCTGCTTCATGGGTTTAGGTTAAGCGTTTCGGGTTTAGGGCCCTAACACCTCAGGAGTTTAAGGCTTGCCCCTGAAGCCCAAACCCTAAACCTTAATTAGCGTAATGGGAGAGTTTGAAAATTGGGTGGGCCGAAGAGCACCTACAACGTATGCCCTGTGTGGATAAACACCCCTTTAGTAAGGTCCTTAAGATTGGGATCCGTATTCTAATCCTTGCAAAGAGAGAGAAACTGATTATTGATTCGGGGGTCTACATTACACGCGAGCTGAAGAAGTCAGTTTTGAGTCATATTGAGGGTCCATCTAAAAACCTTAAACCCAAAACACCCTACACCCTACAAATGAGGCGAAGTCCGTAATTAAGCGGTATGGGGCTTTCCGGGCCTGTGCGCTTCTGTCAAGCTCAACTCTTACTTGGAGAGGCATGGGTGGTTAAACATTGAGTAAAAAGTCACCTAGTTATGGGTTACAGCAGTTAAACATTGTAACCACCTTATGTAAAATCCCACTGATAGCTTCCATGAACCTCCGAGTAGAAAAGCCCGGTTTTGCCCCATGCCTCCTGTAACTTTGGAGATTTTAAGCCACTCGATTCAACGCGAGTCTTCCTGATGTAGGACCCTAAACCCTATACCCTAAACCCTGAAACTCTAAAAGGAAACAGACCCCACAATCTCCGTGACGCTGGGCCAAGGGATTCTTCTTACGGCGTGAGTCGGCTCCATAGACTCCCGGGTTTGGGGTTGAGGGGGGTTGGGTTTAGGGTTTAGGGTTTAGGGTTCAGGGTTCAGGGTTCCGGGTTTAGGGTTTAGGGTTTAGGGTTTAGGGGGGTCCCAAGACCAGCCACAAAACTGAAAGAGCTTCACATCAAAGAGCTCTGTAGGATTCTGAAACAACTCTGAAGCCCCGTCAAAGCAAACGCAAATTCAGCCTGAGCCAGAAGCCTGGCTAAGTCCAGAACGGCAGGGTTTAGGGTTTAGGGTTTAGGGTTTAGGGTGCCCCACCAACATTGTGATTGCAAGTAGATGCGGACAGAGGATCCAGCTGGCCACCCGACTGTTGATGCCGGTCATGATCTTTTCAATGTCCTTCACCAAGGAGCCATCCTCGGATCTATACGGCTGGCGAGCCTTACACAAAAAAGCCCATACCGTTTTGAAACTAGCTCATCTGAAACCAACACAGATTAGCAAGTGATGTAGGTTTACGGGCGTGCGGCTGGTAGGGTTCCTCATGGCTTACTGAGTTTCGTTTACCTGAACCCTAAACCCTAAACCCCTAAACCCTAAACCCTAAACCCCTAAACCCCTAAACCCTAAACCCTGAACCCTAAAGTCTGAACCCTAAACTTCGTAAACGCTGTAGCGACCCGAAGGATCCAGCATTGCCGAGTGGACTGAGCTCCTGAACCACCTGTACTACTGTGAGATGTGTATACGTAGATAGATTAGATTAGATTAGATTA